TTTATCACATGTCTGCACTCGGCTAATCTTGTACTATCTGTATGAATAATTGAAAAATCACAATCTCAAATATCACATGCAATATGTTCAGTATTTCTATTATAGGATTTCCCAGGAATGACTGTTGACAGTCCCTCTAACCTAATGTTTTTTTTCTAAACTAAACTAAACTAAACTAAACTAAACTAAAATGATTTAATCAAATACAGCAATACGTTTGCAAAGTGCCAAAGGCTGTAAAGTCGTAGGGACTGTTACATGTATAGGCCACTATGTCATAACTGTAGAAAATTCTTCTGTATTGTTTCTGTAGCATTTTGCACATTACATTAAATCATTTTAGTTTGGGGAAAAAAAATATTAGGCAAGAGTGAATGACTCTTAACATGGATTTACCCCCTCTATGGCAGAATTAGAAACTCATGAGGGCGCACTTTGAATTATAACCACATATAATTAAATGAATGTTGTTTAATGTCTATTGTTTAATTACGGTTTTCTTTATAGGAAATAAATATTTCAGTTTGTCAAGCTTCTAATTTACCTTTTTTTCCCACATTCTGTAATTTTTCACATATGATAATTTATTGTATTTGTACAGTCTGTGTTCATACCACCACAAGGTGCGAGTATGGTAGTACTGCAACACTTTTTTAATAAAATGTACAAGGCATATTCACCACTTAGTAAGATGGACTGTCTCTTGAAAGCTGTCAACACTATCTATAAATCAGTAAGTGCTATCCAATATTTACTACCCTACAACTTTGCTATGGTAGAATATGAGTGAACATATTCCAAAACTACTGCATGTGTACAGAATGGTGTTGGTTGGTTCATTTTGTTATTTTGGGGGTTTGTGTGCAGCATGGAGCTCCATGTGTGTAACTGGCTGTCTTGGAAGTGAATGACTTACCAGTATTTGTGTGTTCATGGTATTATAATGCTGGACATTGTCTTTAATTAATACTTTATTCTCAAAGTACCGTGATAATTAAAAAGATAAGTATTTGGTTTAATCGTAAATGTAAATTCACTCAAAATGTGATGGGTAATTCACTCAATGGTACTGACTCATAGCATGAAGGTAAAAGAAATTTTGTAGCTATTTTAATCAAGCAATAATAGTCAACAATAATGAGTCATGTACATGTAAACTTGTTGGAACATGGAGCTAATTTAATTTTAGATCTATGTTGGAACCAAGCAACATAGTTTGTGTTCAACATTATATACAGATCAGTTAACAACCTAAACTACCTTAACATTTTACACATGGCAAGCCTGCCTACTTTGAAATAAGATATTAACTTAAATACAGTTCATTGTGACACTCAAATGCACTTACAACACCCTTTGCGAATGATCCCCAGTGTTGCCACTGTTGTATTTAAGCCCCTTTACACCAGTGTAATGAGTTCTTATCTGTTTTTCTGCTGATTTATGTACATGTAATAGTAACGCTAGTGTTGATACTCCCATTCTGTTTTTCTGTAAGTCAACATTTGTTTTGTTAGCGTAAATGAACACAAAAAAAGATGTGAACACAGTATGAAATCGCCTACATACTCATTGTAAATATGGACATACTGGTATAATTATGACACGAATTAGTGAAAGCAAAGCTAACTTATTAATTTGTTTATCTAATAAAAATAGTAGGAACTAAAAAAATAGACTTTCAGTTTGTTAACCCCTGAATGAACCATGAAATGTGCTACACTTTATAAAGTGTGTTTATAAATAACTGTTTGTACATCTATGATTCATCACTGAAATGTGCTATGTTATATTTCAGACAAAAGATACAAGGGATGGGCATGAAGCTGTGGAGTCTATGGGTGCTGATGGTAAGTCTTTCACATTCCCATTACATTCTATGTATTGAGTTAACACATGTAATATGTGTGTGTCTGAGATGCAAGTTAGTGTGTGTTCATTGTGATCATGTAGTTATATATCATTAATTATTTACTCTTGGTTGGCGCACTGTGGCGTCATTTTCCTTCATTTATTCAAGTATGGTTGTCTTCTAGATTTTCTGCCTGTGTTCATCTATGTGCTTGCTCACTGTGATGTCAAAACGGCTGAGATTGACGCTGATTACATGTGGGGTTTGCTGGATCCCAATCTGCTGATTGGACAAGGTGGATATTATTTAACAACATTAAGTAGTGCAGGTAAGTCCAATACTATCCATTTAAATTTTACAAAATTGTCATATCGCAAGTCGGTGAAAATCATGACATAAAAATGTTACTGAGTCACAGTGACCTTCAGTTGTATTCTAAGGATACCAAGTCACAGTGGGATTTGCAAAATTTTGTTCTCAAGAATGCCATTAAATCATCAATTCATAAACATTTTACTTATTATTTGATGGTGATTACATTGTAGGGTTGAAACCCTACTGGTTACATTTCTATTATCCAATATACTTACATAATGTATGTTTTGCATTGTCTCATCAGTGTGTGTGATTAAAAACATGCATCTAGAGGAGGAAGATGATACAAGACTGCCATGCATCAGTGATATGCAGGGATTTCTAAAAATAGCCTTCCATGATAATGAGAATGATGTCATTATGTCCAAGACATTACCAATAACGCCATCTATGACAACTAGTGATGTTTGTAAGTATTCACGTTTCACCCATGTCAAACAGAGTTATATCAGGTTACTAGTAGATGTTGCTGATCAGTTCTGCACTGGTATGATTGGACTATTATAAATGTGTTACCATTATGTTTATGTGTTTTATATAAAGGCTCATTAATACCGTATTTGTCTTCAATTAGGCGCCACTTTGTTACACTTTCACGTCATGGTGGCGCTTATTTGTGGTTAAATTTGAGCAACTTTGTTTCAAATGGCGCTTATTTCAAGCACTTCAAGTTCTAGTACCGGTAACTGTGTTACAAGCCATTGTTTTTGCTCCATTC